CGTTCCCCACGCTTGCAGCGGCTTGTAGTGCATTGCCACACCAGCCACCCTGAGCATTCACCTCTGCCCCATGGGCGAGGAGAAGCCGCACAACCGATTCGTTCCCCACGCTTGCAGCGGCTTGTAGTGCATTGCCACACCTGCCACCCTGAGAATTCACGTTTACCGTATCCTCCTTTCTACTGACTAGGAACCCACAGACTCTCACTAAATCTAACAAGGAAGAATAGTAGAGAGCTGGTGGATAAACGTAGGAACCCGGTGGTTCACCAGGGTCAGGATCATCAGGGTCAGGATCATCAGGGTCATATACATCTAACCAAACCTTGCCAAGCTCGAGAACCTTCATCGCCGCATCGGAGAGTGGGGTGGGTGCCGTATCCTCAATACATTTGGCATACACAAACCAATAGCGAGCACTGTGGTAGAGAAATGACGTTTTTTCAACTTCCTCCCGGTGTATAGTCCCTTGTGCACTATGTCGCAGTATTCGACTGAGGCACGCATGCCCCATCAGTAAATTGGCTTCATCCTCCGAAATACGATAGTAGGCACTGGGGCCTTGAGATGCCCGGTCGGATATCAAATATTCCTTTACCGAGAAATGTGCCAGTCGTAATCGGCGGTCTTCCTGTGGGGATGATTCATCGTCCCTGGCATCCTCGAAGGAAATAAGGCTAGGGCAAATGCTTATCAGGCAACTTGTATCAAAAAGAGTGCGAGTCTCAGGATCCTCGCCGTATTTTTCGACATTGTATTCGATCACGGCGGCCTCCGCAAGCTGGCCTAATGTCAAGGGCACTGTCGAAAATGCCAGCCAATTCATCGCTCGTTGGATGTATATCCTCTGCATCTCATCGATGCTTTCCAGGATCCTCGTATAGACAGAATCCAAGTCTTTAGGCAACTTCTTCAAAGCGGCTCTTACATCGTCCGGTGCCAAACATGTTTCTAGAATTCGCAAAAGGCAATCCACCCATCGGAACCTTAACATTTCCACCTTTGTATTAGCCTAAATCCAAATCTCAATAGGCGAGTATAACATACATTCCTTGCGAACGAGTAACTAGTGTGTGCTCAATCTCATCCTTAATTTCTTCGGTAAACCTCTTGAAGCCACCCTTGCCCACTAGAGATTTCTGAACATAAGTTCGGATATCCGAGTCGACAGTTTTAGATTGTAGCGAGATTGAAAAAGCAGTGAGTGGTTCTAGTGATGCCGCTATATCGGCCTCGGGACGGCTAGTGACGAGAATTGAAAGCGGTCCGGCCTTATGATGCACCGTAAGCTCATTAATCCAAGACAGGAGACTCTCCCGTGTGTCCTTGGGAAATTCATCTAAGGCATCGAGAATGATAAAGGTCTTCTTAAAACCCTTTATAATCTGGGATAATAGATCCTTCAGGGCGCTGGTATCCGCCGACTTCCCAATTGCCTTGGTGCTATTATAGAGATCTACAACCGCAGCTGGCAGACCTCGATCCGAAGGCCTTTTTGGAAGTTGGCCAATAAGGGATAGAAGCATATTGTCCAATTTCTGCTTTTCGGAGTCGCTGAAGGTGAAGTAGAAATAAGCTAACCCGTAATCATCGTTCGTATCGCACAGACGTTTGACATCTTCAATTGCGGTAGCACTAAGGAGACAGTTAGCGATCTGGAAATCATATTGCTCCCCCAGATAACCACTCAAGTTCTCACCTTAGAACGCTCTTGCCACATCCAGCTACGGGATGCAGATTTTAGTGATATTCCATAAGCATAAAACTTCACCCATCCCGACACTTACGTATTCCATAAAGCCAGAGAACTCCTCCTTGGTGACCCTTCCAGTCCTTGTACTCATCTCCCGCAAGCAGCCAATTCCCCGTACCAGGTTCACGAACAGCAAGTGCAGATGAATAGTTAGATGCTGGATCAATAACATTAAGCCATTTGAGTACTTTCTTGAATTCTTTGTCTGGAATACCGGAAACATCTGATATTAGCAAAGAAAATAATTAGAAGTGCTAAGGATAATGTGACCAGGTACCGTCTAGTTTTCGCGACATCTTTGTTACGGTTTTCCTAAACAACTAGTCAGCCTTCCCATCAAAATAAGAAGGAAATGGAGTTTTTGCATTCTCGGGGTGCAAAAGAATGGATAACCTACGTTGTGGCTGTAGCCAACAAGAGTTGAAGTCTCAATCTCTGCTCTCCAATCAAGCCCAGGTAACGCTCCATTTTTGGTTTATGAATAGGCCAAAGATATTTTCTCGACGATTTCCTCCATCCCGGAACATCTAACTTTTTCTTCAGCTCCTGCAGGGCTGTCTGGTAATCTTTCAAACTATCATCTTTTGCCCATTCAAGGAGGCTCGGGTATTGTGGGTTGTTCCCATCATCTCCGGTGGCAAGGCTTTGGATTTCCTCGAGCTGTTGGTGGATACTTTTAATCTCGTCCCCCAGTTTCTTGAAATCCTCCTGGCTCCCCTTGACTGCGCTGTAGTAGTCATAGCAAAGTTCGCAAACCTTCGCGCTGAGGTGAATGAGAGCAAAGCCGCTGACGGCCGTGGAGAAGGCGTCTGCCATTACTCTTCTCTGGAGTGTTGTGGGCCTAAAGAGGGGAAGTGCGAAAATACGGCTTTGATAGTTTGCTGCTTTTTGGGAGTGGAACAGAACCAAAAGCCGGAGTTCGCTTTTGAGGTGGATGGGCCGGTAATCTTTAGATTTTTTTGACTTATGCTTTTCGGCGGATTCAAAGATGTGTAGGAAACAGCAACTGGCGTACTCCGAGCGGGCTTCTTGGGAAAGAAAAGCTTTTCAGGTTCGCCGTGAGCGGGGTCACCCAAATTCCTGCGCTTACACAGAAGAACAGCAACCGCACACCTCGTTGTTGTCGGCAAAACTGGGGGCCAACCATTACTCGTGTACAGATTAGCCCCATGCTAACATTTTCAGTAGCGATCGAATTTCTTGCCTTGCACCAGTGTTGCAGCAAGCGAGGGGATCCTGCTCGGTAGTGTGCGTAAGAATCTGGAAAAAAATAATTCCGACACGTTATGGTACTCGCACAACTCCCCCTTGCAGCAGAATTACCCTATCCGAGCTTATCTCTATAGAAAAACACGAGGATCGCAGCATGTTTTCGCGAAGCGGAGTGCTATCCAAACCAGAGCCGGAACTGCCATCCTTGTGCCCGGTACAAGTAGTGAGTATCTGGAATACGGCTTGTGTTACAAAACCACTCTTCCAGAAAAACAGCGGTGTCTCAGTTTCCGATACGAGAGCAGCACTTCATGCCCGGTGCGAGTGGAGTTGGCTAGTGCTTCCAGTCGTCCAGTCCATCCAGGACGCGGTGGGGGTGGACAGCCGTCGGACTACACTAGAGCTACCGATACCGTAGTAGAAGCATAATCTGCTGCTACAGTACAGTAGATTTTACCCCATTGTTATGGATCAGCCCATGTGGCTGGGTACGAGTAGTGGCTGGGTAGACCCGCCTTTGAGTATTACCGGTAGTGTGTGTTTCGCTTAGCCCCTTGACCGATTTTAGTTGACTGCAGCCGACTGCCATCCACCCCGTCCGGACGACGCCAAGGCTGTACGAGTACTCGAGTACTGGACAGGGTGAGGACTAGCGCGGTTGCACGGTTGCATTGCTTGCGTCATGCTGCACACAATCCGATAGGGCAATTCGGTAGCCACGGCCAGCAGTAACACGGCTTCACCTCCCAAGATTTTTGGTTTCCGGGGATAAGCGATATGGCAGGGCGCACTCAGCCCCGCTCTTGGAACTGCGAAGATATTTGCACGATCCCCTCTCAACCCCGTGACCAAATGCCTCTGCTCAAGTGCCGGACGGACACTTCACCTCGACGGGGACTTACCACCAGCCTAGACTATGTTTCCTTTCCATCTCAATTTGGGGCCAGCATCTTCTCTTTTCCATCTCCCCTCACCGGTGTTGTATCATAGTCAATTTTGGGCAATGTTCTACTTTCTCTTCCCTGATATCGATACGCCACGGACAAACATTTTCCATGGAGGAGCCTCTGGAAGGGAAGGGTGACCAACTGTCAAGCAGCCGGTGAACCTTGTGCTGCTCGAGCGCCCCATACCTCCATGAGTTTAAACTATTGGTGTAGGCAATCCTTCGGTACTCGTATGATAGAGTTCTTTCCCGTGCCTCCCATCCCACTGCCAACTGCCACAACTCTCCCAATTTTCCTCGCTACCACCCATCCCATTCTATCTCACTCAGGGCCCATGGCCAAATTACAAAAACATCACCACGTACAGCGCACCGACGCAGCCACCCGATCTTCCAAACTACAAATGACACCACCAGCTACTATGGGGAACCGTTTTCCCCAGGCAGTTGGATCATCAATCCGTCTAGTTATTCAAATTCTTTCTTGGCACTGTGGCTAGTTCTCTAACTGTGAGAATTTCATTCAGTTCAAGACAGACTTCACAAGCAACTGCAGAGAAAGGGAGAATGGCAACTGCAATACCCTAACCCACATGTCATTGTCGGACATGATCCCCTAGATTCCCATGCGCCAGAAAATGTTGAAATCCTCCCTTCTTGCCAGTTCCGGATTCTCTATGGTAGCCGGGGGTATCATCGAGTTTCGTGCCACTTCCAGTGCCTACCTCGCCTACGCATTAGGCCATCCAAATTGCATTCGAGCCCCATCTCTTCCCTTCATATCCGGATTCCACTTTCCCCCACCGCACGTTACTCTCTACCGTTCATAATTAGTCCAGACTCCACCCATTGCATTCTAGCACTCACCACTTGCCATCCATACCTGGCCTGCTAGCATAATAGCCGAAATCTCTGGACTGGGTTCTCTGTCGCGGAATGAAAATGTATGAAGCCTATGTCCGTGTTGGTGGAGGTCTGGGGGGGTGTCCTATGTACGGCACCTTACTCTATCCAGCTAATAGGACGTATTGTTAGTCAACCTAGCTATCTGTTTTTTTCACCCACCACCACGATTACCCGCTGGTCTCATCCCCTTTCACGCAATTTTCCCTGCCACAAACAGCATGCCTTATGGTCGACTGGTACCCCAACCTTTCTTACGGTAGCCTTCCATCAAGTAGCCACAGTGGGTTTCATAAGTCCTAACGGATGCCATCACCGCCGACTCC